TCTATCTCCCTTTCCCTTCCACTCTGAAGTCATTAAAATATATATTTTAAACCACATGTGTCAAACACAAGGCCAGCGGGCCAAATCCGTCCCGCCAGGCCTTGCAATGTGGCCCGCACAGCGCTGTCATCACTGCACTCCGCTGCGTTTCCATCACAATGACAGTTTATGACTGTTCAGTAAACCATTCGGCCCGCGATTTAGGCTGGATTTTAGATTTTGGCCCCTTCTCTGATTGAGTTCGACACCCCTATTTTAAACAAACAAACAAACAAAGAGCCCGGCTGGTGTGGCTCAGTGGTTGAGTGTTGACCTATGAACCAGGACTTCACGGTTCGATTCCCAGTCAGGGCACAGGCCCCGGTTGCTGCCCCGATCCCCGGTGGGGGGTGTGCAAGGAGGCAGCCAATCATCGTTGATGCTTCTCTTTCTCCCTGTCCCTTCCTCTCTGAAACCAATAAAAATATATATTTAAAAATATATACATCTTGCCGAAACCGGTTTGGTTCAGTGGATAGAGCGTCGGCCTGCGGACTGAAAGGTCCCAGGTAAGATTCCGGTCAAGGGCATGTACCTGGGTTGTGGGCACATCCCCAATGGGGGGTGTGCAAGAAGCAGCTGATCAATGAATCTCTCATCGATGTTTCTAACTCTCTATCCCTCTCTCTTCCTCTCTGTAAAAAATCAACAAAATATTACCTTTTAAAAGGAACATATATACTGTCTACAGGTATCTGCTAAACAAATGACTAGCCAATAGCCTGCTTCCTGGTCTCCCTTCTGCCCGTCACCCCCACATCTTGCTTCGAGTCAAAGCCAACATCTTCACCAAGCCTAGAGACCTCCTGTGATCTGGCCCCTCCTACCTCTGCCTTCACTTCCCTCACCTTGCTCAGGCCTCCTGTTGTCCCTTAAATATGCCAAGCATGCCCTTCCCCCAAACCTTTGTGCTTCTCTCCCTCCTGCTTGGGAATACTCCTCTACAGACACTGGCCCAGCTCCCTCCCTCCTCTTCCTTTCAGGTTTCAGCTGAAATGTCTTGGCAGTGAGGTCTTTCCTGATCACCCTACTTCAAATTTCAATTTTCTCTCCCTCCCCATCTGTGCTGCTTTATTTATTTATTTATTTATTTATCTTTTCTTTTTAAAAAATGTTGATTTTTTCTTTTTTTCTTTTTTACAGAGAGGAAGGGAGAGGGATAGAGAGCTAGAAATATCGATGAGAAACATCAACCAGCTGCCTCCTGCACACCCCTCACTGGGGATGTGCCCGCAACCAAGGTACATGCCCCTGACCGGGATCAAACCTGGGAACCTTCAGTCCGCAGACTGACGCTCTATCCACTGAGCCAAACCGGTTTCGGCAGTGTTGCTTTATTTTTCTGCATTTATCATCAATGTACTACCTATTAGTAAGCTCCCTGAGGGCAAAGATGCGTGTGTGTGTGTGTGTGTGTGTGTGTGTGTGTGTGTGTTTACTTTCAATTTCCCTACTATGGAACAGTGATTGACACCTAATAAGTGTTCAGTGATTATCTACTGGGTGAATGCCAAAGGCCTTCCCCAGTCACTGGGCTTAGCATCCCTGCCTTTGGCTCTAGAATGTTCGAAGCCCAGCCAGTGTGGCTCAGTGGTTGAGCATCGATCTATGAATCAGGAGGTCACAGTTCAGTGCCCTGTCAGGGCACATGCCCGGGTTTCCAACTCAATCCCCAGAGGGGCTGTGCAGGAGGAGCTGATCCATGATTCTCTCATCATTGATGTTTCTCTCTCTCTCTCTTCCTCTCTAAAATCAATTTAAAAATATACTTTAAAAAATTTAGAATGTTTGAAAAATAATCACTATTATTTTCTAAGCAAAATGATTATTTTCTTTTCCTTTTAAAAAAATGTTATTGAGCCGGGACCGGTTTGGCTCAATGGATAGAGCGTTGGCTTAGGGACTGAAAGGTCCCAGGTTCGATTCTGGGCAAGGGCATGTACCTTGGTTGCGGGCATATCCCCAGTAGGGGGTGTGCAAGAGGCAGCTGATCGATGACTCTCTCTCATCGATGTTTCTAACTCTCTATCTCTCTCCCTTCCTCTCTGTACAAAAAACAATAAAATATATATTTTTAAAAATGTTATTGATTTTGTTTTATTTCTCTTAAATGTTATTGATTTTAGATGGAGAGATACAGAAACATCTACGAGTGAGAAACCTCGATCCGCTGCCTCCTGCAGGGTTGAGCCTACAACCTGGGCATGTGCCCTGACTGGGAATCGAACCGGCGACCTCTGGGTGCATAGGACCACGCTCAATCCACTCAGCTACACCGGCCAGGCTTAACGCTATTATGTATGAACTTATTTAACCTCACAACGCCAACTCTTCCAGGTTGGTACTACTTTTCAAATTTATTTTTATTGATTTTTAGAGCGAGAGGAAGGAAGAGGGAGAGAAACACTGATGTGAGAAACATCAATCTGGTGCCTCCTGCAAACTCCCGACTGGGGATTGAGCCAGAAACCTGACAAATGCCCTGTCTAGGAATCAACCAGCAACCTTTCCATCCTGGGGCGACACCCAACCAACTGAGCCAGGGAGGAAAAGACCCCTGACCAAAGGCCCAGGGTTTGTGAGATGCTGACCTAGGAGTGAGGCCTAGCCCCCTCACCGCTGTGCTGTACTGTCTCTTTAAAAGGAACTGCTTCTGCCCCCCCAGGTCTGTGAGTGCAAGCCAAGGGGCACTGCCTCCCAACGCCCAGCATACCCACCCATTCATGCATGATGAGCTTCTCATGACGAACCTTTCCACTCTTTTCATGATGAACCTTTCCACTCTTTTCATGATGATACGTTCAGATCCATCAATCTTTTTTTACCTGTCCTTCCTCTTCCACTTTTTTTAAAGTTTATATCCATATTTCCCTTTTTAAAAAAATCTATTTTATTGATTTTTTACAGAGAGGAAGAGAGAGGGATAGAGTTAGAAACATCGATGAGAGAGAATCATCGATCAGCTGCCTCCTGCACACCCCCTACCGAGGATGTGCCCACAACCAATGTATTGTACATGCCCTTGACCGGAATCGAACCCGGGACCTTTCGGTCCCCAAGTCGACGCTCTATCCATCAAGCCAAACCAGTCTCGGCATATTTCCCTTTCTTTAATAAAAAGGAAGTATATACTAAACATCACTTCGCTTTTCATTACTATATGCTGGAGCCCTCTCTAGATCAGTGTGCAAAGATTTCCCTCGTTCTTTCTTACAGCTGCATAGTGTTTTATTATGTGGATTTTTTTTTCCTGCCAGTCTTCCTATTAAAGGACACCAGTGGCCTGTGCAGTCTTTTACTATTATCAGTAACCATTGTTTCCCCTTCCTTCCAGCGGTACCCGCCTCGGAGTACCACTGCCTCACTCCCACCTGGGAGTGCGATAACTACCCTCACATACAGAATGGCCCCAAGGGTATCTTTCTTTCATTCATTCATTCATTCATTCATTCAACAAACATCAACTGGGCATCGTCAATGTGACCAGCACTGTGCTGGGAACACAGCAGTGACCATACATACCCAGTCCCGGCCCCATGGAGCTCATACTGTATTTGATTATTCAAATAGCCAAACAAATAAAGGTCCGAAACCAAATTAGATCCCCTGTGACACAAAGCAAATGAACTGGGACCTAGGAGAGCGTTTAAGAGGCAGATTTCGGGACAGAGGACAGGAAAGGACGACTTGGCAGAGGAAGTGACGTTGGTGCTGAGACCCGAGGGATGAATGGGAGTTAGCCAAGCAGAAGGGGGTGAGAGGATGTTTGCAGGCAGAGGGGCAGCATGTGCAAAACTCCCGGAAGGCGCATGGCTTGTTTAAGGAACCCAAGGCCAGAGCGGCTGTTGGAAGTGAGGCAGGAGCAGAGACAGCGGAGGCAGAGCTGCGGCCGGGGGCGGACACGCCTAGGGGCCCACTTTGGAACTTTGCCCCGAGGGGAGCACGGGAGGGTCCTCGAGCAGAAGAAATCGGGGTCCCAAACGTCACTGCCGCCTTCTCTTCGAAGCGCCCCCAGCCCTCCGCCAGCGCCTTGCAGCCTCAGGGTCCCTCCACCCTGGGCCCCGGGCCCCCACGCCCGCCCCGCTCACCGCAGCTCCGGCCTCCGGCCCGTGGCGCACCCTCAGCAGCACCCCTTCCCAGACGCCGCCACCGCCATCTTCCGCTCGCCGCCCGGCACGGCGCACGCGCGGCGCGCGCGGGTTCGCCGGGAAATGGAGTCCGGACAGCAGGCCGAGCCCAGGCGCGCGAGCGGCCTCCCGCCCCAGAAGACTCCGGGCGGCTCTCCGTTTCCGGCCTTCGAACGTCGTGCCTTCTGGGAAATGTAGTCCCTCGGCGGAGGAGCGGGACGGGACGGGGCGGGAAGAGAGGCTTCTGGGAAATGGAGTCCGGTGGGTCGGAGTCCCTGGACGGCTGGTGGTGGAGGGAGAGTGCCGAGTCTGTGTGGCGTGGCTCCTAGGTTTGAAAGCGGCCCGGGGGGCCCGAGGGGTGCATGAGCTGAGGCCCCAATCGCCTCCACCCTTTGCACAGTTTGGGGCATTTCCATCTGTTGGAAGCATCTGTGGTCCAGCCCGTCCGATGGGAATGTGGTTTCGGGGTCTCTTACCCGTCCCGATGGCGGCGTCCCTGGAGCCCGGGAGCCCCCCGCGCTCGGAGGCCCCTTCCTCCCGGAGGTCATGCCCAGCTCTGGCTCCTCTCCCTTCCCGTCTAGACGTTGAAGCCCTCCGGGGTAGGAGGGTCCGAGTCCTGCCCTCCGGGCCTCTGTCACCAGCGGTGCCTCCCACCGGTAGCTCCCTCCCGCTTCGGCCACGTCCAGCGCGCGGTCCGCGGGCTGCGGCTCCCGGCGCCTGAGGTCTGTCTCCTCGCAGTCCTGCAGGGGGCGCCCCAGCCCGAGCGCGGGAGGGGCGCCCGGGGAGGGCGGGGGCAGGGGCGGGGGAGGGGGGGCGCCCCGGCTATAAAGCTGGGCCGCCTCCCGCGGCGCCCGGGACGGCGGGGACTCTGGGCAGCCGGACGGACGGACGCGCGGGCGCCGGTCAGAGCGCGGGCCGTGCGGGCCGAGGGATCCGGAGCGCTCGGTTCCCCCCCCCACCGGGCCGGCGCGGGGGCAGGTGGGGGCGCAGGCCCGGGGGATGCTGGGCTCGGTGAAGATGGAGGCCCACGACCTGGCGGAGTGGAGCTACTACCCGGAGGCGGGCGAGGTGTGTCCGCGGGGCTGGCGGGGCGGGGAGTGGGGGACAGGAGAATCGAGGTGCGGGGCTTACATGGGGGCGATGATCGGGGTGCGGGCTCAAAGGGGGGCCCCAGCCAGAGCTGAGGCGCAGAGGAGCTGGACACTCGGAGACCAGGTGTCCCGGCGCCAGGGACCGGGGACAGGCGTGGCCGGAGCGCGGTTCCCGCGGGCTCGTCGGGGTGAGGGGTCAGTGGGGACCAGGGAAACTTGGGGGGTGGGGGGCGGGCCGAGGGTCAGGTCACCGCTGCAACGTGAGGGCTGGAGGTGGGCGACCCCAAATGCAAGGGAGACACGGGAACTAAACCAAAGCTAGGAAGGAGTCAGACCTCCAGGAGAGCAGGTAGGCAGGGGTAGGCAGAGCCTGGGAACTAGGAAGGGGATCAGAGTCGGGGTTGGGCGGCGGGAGGGGAGGTGGACAGGAACGAAGAGATGGAAGAAGGGGTCACCATTAAGAGAAATGCGAGGTGGGGGCTCAGGGTTGGAAGGCAGTGCTCAAGATGCGGGTTCTGGGGTAGAGATCACTTGGGGTTCAGGGAGAGCGTGCGATCTATAAGGTAAGGTCAGAAACAAGGGTTAGGGGGCTCCGGCGTAAGAGACGGAGGTTGGTTTTTGGGGAGTCTGAAGTAACAGGTGGGTTAGAGCTGGGGTTCAGCTAAGCAGGGGGCGCCCAGATGGAGTCGGAGCTGGGAGCGGGAGAGCAGGAGAGCGGTCCATTTCCATTCCCCGCCCCCATCCCTACTCCTGACCCTTACCCCTTCCCACTGAACTTCACTGGCTGCATTGTTTTCAGAGACCCTCCGCGGGGGTCCTCCTTGGGGCGGGAGGGTGTCAGCTTTCACACCTCTCTGTGTTCCCCAGTAATTGCTAATGTCCTCACCAGCCCCCTTCTTGCTAGACCACCCTGGATTAGGGGGCGGGGGTCTGTTTTAGCTCCCTCACCCCCACCCCCACCCCCAAGAGCCCTTTCCCAAATCTACCTCCCATTCCTCTTGCCAGGACTCCTCCTCAGCTCACTCCAGCGTCAACCTTGTGGAGGGGTGGGGGGTGGGGGGGAGGTCCTAGTTGAGGGTTATGGGAATCCGGACGCTGAGCTTCCTCACCTGGAAGGGGACTGTGGGCTGGAGGTCCGGGAGGGAGGCGGGGGCCTGAGCTCTCTGGGAACTGAGATCTGGGCTCTACAGGGGCCCCCGGACCTGCCTGAGCTATGGGTCTGGGGTTTGAGGCTGTAGGGTGGAACTCTTGGATCCCCAGGCCTTCAGGGCTTGGCCCGGTGCCCGGGAGGGGCCAGCGCGGGGGCAGTGGAGGTGTTAGGTGCACGCGGGGTGGGGCAGGCCGGCCAGGGAGGGGTGGGGGAGTGTTGAGAGGTGGAGACCCCGGGGGTCGGAGGTGTCGGGAAGCGGAGACCAGGTTGGAGGCGAAGGCTCCGGAGCAGTGGGGGGAATCCCAGCTGCACCACCCCGGAGAGTTCAGAGTCTGGGACTAGGATTTAAGGGAACCAACCAGAAACTGGCGTGTGGGCGGGTGGCACATCTTAGGTAAACTGGGGGGGGGTCTAGGATAGGGCAGTTGTTATTTGGGCCACGAGCTGAAGTTGAAGTTGAGGGGACCCTTGTGCCAGAAAGTGAGGGCTGGTCTGGAGCCGACCCGCGCGTGGGGGCATATTTTTGGGGACCTATTTTGACACCTGGGGCGCTGGAGATGGAAATACTGTGGGAGGGTTTCCCAGCCTTCCCCTCAGCTGAGCCACCTTCCCCCACTTGGGTCAGGTCTGCACTCACTCAGCAGCTGAGAAGGGAGAGATCCCTCACTCTGCTTCTAGCCCTCCCCACGGCCTTGCTGGGGGTGGTGTTTTCACCCCCCGGCTGGCTCCCTGGCCTCCAGTTCTCACAGGTCAGCTGCCCCCCACCCCCTTTTGGAGAGGAAACCCTGAGGCCTCCAGGAGGGTGGGGGGCTGCCTGAGGCTCTGGGCAGAGACCGGGAGTCAGTCTTCTGGTTTCACACCGCCTCCCTCTGCTCCCCGTCACACCCAGCGCCCGAGACAATAAGGAAATGAAAGGGGAGAAATTTCACCCTCCTGGGGTGGGTGGGGGTGCAGGTCCCCGGAGGGCTTCCCCCCACAACCTCAGCCCCGCCCTGGTGGCAGGGAAATCCGGCTCAGACCCGGACACTGGGGTTCATCCCAGCCCCAGGGCGTGGGAAAGCCTCGGGTGGATTAGGGCAGCCGGGCTGCTGGAGGTCAGGCCTCAGGGAGGACTTCCGGGTGGGTGGGTTGGGGAGCCGGGCCAAGAGGCCCTGGGGGTCCCCATGGGCCTTCCTCTGGGAGGGACATCGCAGAGGGATTTAGGGCTCTCTGTGGATCCCCTAACTCGGACACAGTCTCACCTCCTCTCTCACTCCGGGAGGGGCGGGCGAAGCCAGGTACCAGGCGGGGAGACCCATGCATGGGCAGGGGAGTAGCTGTGAGACTTGTGGGGAGCGTGATAGGGACGGATGGAGGGAGGCACGCAGGTACAAGGTGTGCTGAAGGAGAAAGAGATGGGGGTGGCAGAGGAGTGGGGGAGAGAGAGACAGAGGGAGAGAGAAGGTGGGGTGGGGGTGGGGAGATGGGGAGGGAGGGTCAGGGTTAGGGAGAGCCCGGAGCAGCGAAAGGCAGAGGGGCAGACAGTGGGGAGCAGAGAGGTGGGAGATAAAGGACTGACTGAGTGTGGGGAGGAGAGACAGGGAGGGACGGGCTAAGGGAGAGGGCAGACATACCTGCACAGACAGGGAGCGTCAGAGACCTGGATGGACATGGGAAGGAGGAGAGAGTCTGCAGCTGGAACTCGGACCTCGTCGGTGGCCACTTGTCCCTGACTTCCGGAGTGACCCTGGCTGTCCCTTGTCTCTCTGGCCCTCGGGACCTGTGGACGCAGTGACAGGGGTTGAGCGTGGGCTCCTGTTAGGGCCAGAGCAGCACCGGCAGGGCCAGGGAGGAGGGAGCAGGGCAGCCGGCAGACGGCGGAGAGAGGACGGGAGACAGTGGACGGAGGGAGTAAAGAGAGACACACACACACACAGAGGGCACCATCCACCAGGCTTCATGTTTTCCGTGTCTTGCTCACTTCCTGCGGGGCTGTGGGCTCCAGGAGAGCAGGCCTGTCAGTCCGCTCGGTCACTGCTCTGATGGCGACATCCAGATCACCGGGCTGGTGCCCCTTCCTGGCCGTGTGACCCGGCAGCCTCTCGGGGACTCGGCTTGCTCAGCTGTGAAATGGGCATCCAGGGAGCAGGGCCTGGCACGGAGCAGGTGGCTGGTGACTGCGTGCGAGATGGATGGGAGACCGTGGCGGGTTAGAGAGACGCAGCAGTCAGTGTCCGATGAATTCCACTAGTGCGCGTTTGCTCACCATGGAACGTTTCTGAAAACGGAACGGGGTTCACAGCCAGTGGTGTCTGGGGGTTATGATGGGCAGTGTTGTTTTTGTTTTTGTTTTTGTTTTTCCCCCCATCCTGACTGATATGTAATATTACAGCTTACAATCAGTGATGTCTTACATTGATGATGCATAGTAAGTAGATGATATGAGGTTAAGACGTGATTCCTGGGAGTCAAAACATCTTGACCAATGAAACACTGATTTTATAACCTCGGGGATGGAGAGCACACATGTAGGTTAGGTTATTGGGTAAATCAGCGGGACTGGATTTCAGGGTGGGAGGGGCGGTGGTGGTCTCAGGATCACTTATCACTCTTAAAAATTATGGAGGACCTCCAGCAGTTTTCATTGGTGTGGGTTATCTCTCTCTTTTTTTTTAATTAAACATTTTATTGATTTTTTTACAGACAGGATGGGAGAGTGATAGAGAGTTAGAAGCATGGATGAGAAAGAAACATTGATCAGCTGCCTCCTGCACACCCCCTACTGGGGATGTGCCCGCAACCAAGGTACATGCCCCTGACCGGAACCGAACCTGGGACCCTTCAGACCGAAGGCCAATGCTCTATCCACTGAGCCAAACCGGCCAGGGCGGTTATATCTCTTCATGGTTACCACATAAGAAATAAAAACTGAGGGAAAAAATGTAAATGTATTAGATAGTTCCAAAGCAGCGATAATTTGTTAGTGCAAACAATGTGTTTTGATGAAAATGAGTATGTTTTGGAACATCCGGTGAGAGGGGGGGCACTGTCGGGCCTCCGAAGATCCTTCAGTGCCTGCGCCATACGAAGCAGCTGCGTTCGTGTAGCTGCTGCTGTGTTCAGTCTGTTGCCACGTCACATGTCCCATGGCCTCTGGAAACCTCCACTGTGCACTTTTGAGAGAAGGAGAGTGATAGGAGGCTAATCCATCTTAGTGTTACAGGATAATAGTTTGTTTTGTTTTTTAATGTTTTTAATTTAATTTTATTGATTTTTTACAGAGAGGAAAGGAGAGAGATGGAGAGTTAGAAACATCGATGAGAGAGAATCATCGGTCAGCTGCCTCTTGCACACCTCCCACTGGGGATGTGCCCGCAACCAAGGTATAAGTCCTTGACCAGAATCGAACCCGGGACCTTTCGGCCCGCAGGCCTATGCTCTTTCCACTGAGCCAAACCGGTTTCCGCCAGGACAATAGTTTTGACCTCACAGATACCCTAACCCTAAAGAGGCCTTGGCCACTCCCCAGGGTGTCCCGGTCTCCACTTGGAGACCTCTTGAAGCATGAGCGAGGGGAGTGGAGGGATGAGATCAGGGAGGGGTGCATGAGGAGGAATGAGAGAAAGACTTCAAGAAACAGCTATCGCTGAAACCGGTTTGGCTCAGTTGGTCTGCGGACTGAGGGGTACCAGGTTCGATTCCGGTCAAGGGCATGTACCTTGGTTGCGGGCACATCCCCAGTAGGGGGTGTGCAGGAGGCAGCTGGTTGATGATTCTCTCTATCCCTCTTCCTTCCTCTCTGTAAAATAGGGGTGTCGAACTCAATCAGAGAAGGGGCCAAAATCTAAAATCCAGCCTAAATCGCGGGCCGAATGGTTTACTGAACAGTCATAAACTGTCATTGTGATGGAAACGCAGCGGAATGCAGTGATGACAGCGCGGTGCGGGCCACATTGCAAGGCCTGGCGGGACGGATTTGGCCCGCGGGCCTTGTGTTTGACACATGTGCTGTAAAAAATCAATAAAATATATTTAAAAAGAAAGGAAGGGAGGGAGGGAGGGAGGGAGGGAGGGAAGGAAGGAAGGAAGGAAGGAAGGAAGGGAGGGAGGGAAAGAAACAGCTGTCTGGGGGGGAAAGGATGGAAAGCCAGCAGACAGACAGACGGACGGACGGATACACACACAGTGGGTCCAGCAACGAATGGGGACTCACTGACCCTATCTCTCTCTCTCTCTCCCCCTCTCTCCATGCAGGTTTACTCTCCGGTGACCCCGGTGCCCACCATGGCCCCCCTCAACTCCTACATGACCCTGAACCCTCTGAGCTCTCCCTATTCCCCCGGGGGGCTCCCCGCCTCGCCCCTGCCCTCAGGACCCCTGGCGCCCCCGGCCCCCGCCGCGCCCCTGGGCCCCGCCTTCCCCGGCCTGGGCGCCGGCACCAGCGGAGGCGGCGGTGGCGGCGGCGGCTCCGGGTACGGGGGCCCGGGCCCCGGGCTGGCGCACGGGAAGGAGGTGCCCAAAGGGTACCGGCGGTCCCTGGCGCACGCCAAGCCGCCCTACTCCTACATCTCGCTCATCACCATGGCCATCCAGCAGGCGCCGGGCAAGATGCTGACGCTGAGCGAGATCTACCAGTGGATCATGGACCTGTTCCCCTACTACCGGGAGAACCAGCAGCGCTGGCAGAACTCCATCCGCCACTCGCTCTCCTTCAACGACTGCTTCGTCAAGGTGGCGCGCTCCCCGGACAAGCCGGGCAAGGGCTCCTACTGGGCCCTGCACCCCAGCTCGGGCAACATGTTCGAGAACGGCTGCTACCTGCGCCGCCAGAAGCGCTTCAAGCTGGAGGAGAAGGCCAAGAAAGGGGGCGGCGGCGGGGCCTCGGCCGCCGCCAGGAACAGCGCGGGGGCCGCCACGTCGTCCGCGGCCGCCCCCACGGCGGCGGCGGCGGCGGCGGCGGCGGCGGCGGCGGCCGCCACGGTGGCCTCTCCGCCCCAGCCCGCGCCGCCGCCCCCGGAGCCCGAGGCCCAGGGCCGGGGCGAGGATGTGGGGGCTCTGGACTGCGGCTCGCCCCCTCCCTCCGCCCCCTACTTCACGGGCCTGGAGCTGCCGGGGGAGCTGAAGCTGGACGCGCCCTACAACTTCAACCACCCCTTCTCCATCAACAACCTCATGTCGGAGCAGACGCCCGCGCCACCCAAGCTGGACGTGGGGTTCGGGGGCTACGGGGCCGAGGCCGGGGAGCCGGGCGTCTACTACCAGGGCCTCTATTCGCGCTCCCTGCTCAACGCCTCCTAGCGGGGCGCAAGCGAGGGGAGGCGGGGTGCGGCCTTCGCTGGTACCGTCCGGCCCGGTCCTCCCGGGACCCCCCTGGGCCCGTCCCCGCCAGTTAACGCCTCGGCCTGTGACCCGCTGCGGTGACCTGGGCATCACGTCCAGCCACCAGGCGCTGCGATCGCTGCCTCTGATGTCTCGGGGGGCCGTGCGGGGCCGTGGGGAAGACCCCCACGGGACTGACCTTGTTGGTGGAGCCATTGGGGGTCACTCCGATGGCCGCAGTGGGGGTGACCTCGTGGTGGGCCCTTTGGAAGCGGATGGACATCCCCGTGGCTGACCGGGGTGTGTGTGTGTGTGTGTGTGTGTGTGTGTGTGTGTGACGGCGATGCCATCTCCATGGCATCTTCTTGGGCCGGTTGGGGGTTGTGGTCACGTCTTTTTGGGGGGCTTCCTGCCACGTTGGCCACCACCCCACAGGACACCCGCCTGGGTCCGTATGGCGCCCTGATGGCCGCCATATTGGCTGGCTGACACATCCATGGACCAGCCCCTGTGTGGGCCTTGCCACTGCCTCTTTGGGGTGCGGGTGGAGTGTGGGGTGGAGATGGGAGCATCTCGTCTCCGGTGGTTTGCTCCGAACCCTCTGGCTCCAGGGAGAGCGGGAAGGCCGCCCAGGGGGTGGGGAGTTCCTACTGAGTCTGGTTCTTGCCTGGGACGTGGGACACTGCAGTGTGTGAACATTAAAAGGCACCATTTCTGCCTCTTCCGGAACGTCTCTTCCTTGGGGGGGGCGGGGGGGTCCCGTGGAGCTCCAGCCCCGGATTGCTCCTTCCTGCCCCAGGAGCCGGCCGCCTCTGGGGGAGGGGCCCGGGAGGCATCGACCTGACCTTTGGCTCCTCGCTGTCCCTGACCCCAAGGACAGTTTGCTCACCGATAGCAGCCCCCGCAGAGCAGGGCCAGGGCTGTGGGGGGAGGTGGCTGTGCAGGGACCAAGGCCACGTCCCCACCCCCGCTCCGGACACACACCTCGCCTCGGCTCAGCTCGGAGGCCCGGGCGGCTCAGTTTGGGGTTAAGCTGTGGAGGAGGAGGGACGAGCAAGGTGTTAATGGAAGGAGACTGTGTTGGCGCCTGTGTGTGCCTGTGCCCGAAGGCCTCTGGGTCCCCATATGTCCCCAGTATGTCTATTGGGGTCACCATTGTGTCTATTATCTATTGTTTCTATCTCAAAAGGGTGTTGGTTTGTATGTCTGTGCCTACCTTGCCGTGTGCTTACTACGGGTGCCCTAGGACGGCGGTCGGCAAACTGCGGCTCGCCAGCCACGTGCGGCTCTTTGGCCCCTGGAGTGTGGCTCTTCCACAAAATGCCACGGCCTGGGCGAGTCTATGTTGAAGACGTGGCATTAGAAGAAGTTTAAGTTTAAAAAATGGGGCTCTCCAAAGAAATCACAATCGTTGTCCTGTTGCTATTCGGCTCTGTGGACGAATGAGTTTGCCGACCACTGGGCTAGGCTATCAGACTCGTGTGTGTGTGTGTGTGCGTGTGTGGTATGTGTTTCTCTGTTAGGAGTGTATGACTGTGCTGTGTTTCATGTGTACCTGTGTCAGCATCTGTCTGTCTGCTTGTGCTTACATATCATGGCTGTGTGCTGGGCGCTGTCCCTGCTGTACAGAGGGTCGGCTGGCCCTGGCGTGTGTCTGTCGCTCTCGCAGGCGGGGGTGTGGGGAAGGAGCTGGGTCCTTCGGCCACGGAGGGCCCCTGGGGGCCCCTGGCTTGGGGCCTGGGTCTCTGTTCCTCCAGGCCTCTGGGTGTCTGTTCCTGCCTCGGCTCTGAGACTGAGGTCTGTCACTCCCGTGTTCTGGGACATGGCTCTCCGACCCGCGGTGGCCGCTGACAGCCCTGGTTTCATGGGGCAGAAACCCAGCCGGGCTGGGGAGGGCCTGGGCCGAGGTCACGGGCCAGCCGGGAGCAGGTGGGCACGGTTGTTTGAAATGGTGTTTTCTAGTTCCCATTTGTCTTCTTTGGTCATGGGTTCTGTCACTCGTCCATGTGTTCAGTCTCTCAAAGACCAGAGGCCGTCTCTTTATCCGTGTGTGTGTGTGTGTGTGTGTGTGTCAAGTCTCTCCCAGTTTCTGTGCCCATCTGTCTCTGAATGTCATCTCTCTCTGTGGCAGGGCGTCCCTAAGCTTCTCTCTGTGCCTTTATCTCTGCCCCTTGTTTGTTTGTTTGTTTGTTTGCTTTTTTTTAAATGTTCGCTTACTCTCTCTCTACATCTGTCTCTCATATGGTCTGCCTCTCTGTCTCTCTCTGTCTCTCTGTCTCTCTCTCATTCTCTCATGGCTTTCCCTCTGTCCCTCCTCCGGGCCTCTGGGTCTTTCCTTTTCTTTCTCGGGGACTTCCTTTTCTATCTCGGGGTCCACCTCCCCCCACTCCTCCTTTGGATCTGGCCTCTCCCCCCCTCTGGTCTCCCTCTCCCAGCTCCCGAAGTTTCCGCTTCTACCTGCCACCTCGCCCAGGCCGGGCCCTCTATTTCTGTCGCTGTGCCCGCCCTGCCCTGCCGGCTGCGTGTCACCCCCGCCCCCTGCCGTGCTGGCTCCCTGTCAGTCGTCCCTGCAGCCTCTGTCCTGGGCAGGCTGGGGAATTCCTCCCGGTTCCTGGAAAAAACAACTGGGGCCGAGAGAAAGGCCCTCAGTCTCCCCGGGCGCCTGCCCCCCTCCCTCAGGCCTGGGGGTCTCTCCCAGAGTCGGCCGGCCTGAGGCAGGAAGCCCTGCGGTTTCTGGCTTCTCCCAGGCGGCCTCCGGATCTGGCCCCCGCCCCCCGGCCAACAGCCCAAATATTATTCCGCAGGAGGAGCCGGTGGCAGCGGGAGGAGGCCCAGGCTGAAAGAGGCTTTCAGGGCGGCCAGGCCTGGGGCTTCCTGTCCCCAGGCTCGGGCCTCAGGCCGCCCCTGTGGGGACCTCAGGTGGCCGGAGAGGCGGGTGTTGTTGTAGGGTCCCGGGTGGAGGGTGGGGCCACCCGTCAGGGTGTCTAGTGGCCACCGGTTCGGCTGGCGTGGGCAGGTGTGACCCCCACCCCAGGGACAGCCGGCTGACGTCCAGCGTGGAAAAGTACCATGGCCAGACGTGGGATGCATGGACAGACACGAGGACGCCAGGGGTCGGGGATGGAGGGATGGTGGCCATGCGGACCCAGAGAAGCCGGGGACCCAGACACAGTTGGTGGGCCTGAGGCGACACGGTCCAAAGGAGGGGCCTGTGGGGGGAGACGGAGGGCCAGGGTGGGTCCAGGCGGTGGGCCGAGGGCCATCTGCATCAGAAGACAGGACGTGACCATGGCAACAGTAATAGCCACGAGGGCCAGGGCTCCCCATGTCAGGCCTGTGGGAACCTGTTCCTGGAGATGGATCTGGAGGTGGGAAGAGAAGGAGGGATGTGCCCCCAACCACACAGGTAGTAAGAGTCAGGTAGCTGGGACTTGAACCCAGACCGTCTGGCAGACTCAGTGCCCCTGACCGCCAAGCTGTTCTAGAGCCTGGGAGGGGCAACAGCAGCCAGGGGGGCCCTGGGGTCTCCAGCCCTCACACAGTCACCCCATCACAACCGGCTGCAAGGGGGGGGCACACTCTGGAAGCTAGGCATGCAGGCAGTGTACGAGTGTTCACATGCATGTCCGTGTCAGTGTGTCATGGGATGTCACACATGTATCCTGGTGTCAGGTTGTGTCATTGTGCCTCTATGGGTTTGTGTGTTCACTCTGTGATGTGTCTCGGGTCCCCATGCTAGCGTGCGTCGAGTGTGCCTGTCTGTGTCTGTGTCGGTGTCCGTCCGTGGGTTGCTGTAGGTGTTGCTGTGTTTGTCACTCTGTCTGCGCGTGTCCCTGTCCTGTCCTTGTCTTTTGTGTGTCTGTGACAGAGGGTCTTTGTCTCTGTCTCTGACACTCTGGGTTCCTATATCTGTCTCTGTGTGTCACTATGTCTGTCCCTCGATGTGTCACCATCTACCCAGGTGTCACCGCGTTACTCACCGCCCAGGCCACAGGTGGGCGTGGCGGGCCCAGTGGTGCCAGCGCTGGGGCCCACCCCATCCCACCCTCCATGGGCCAGGCCGGACGCCTGTTTGCAGAGCCTGCCCCAGGTAAACACCGAGATCCGGAACCCGAGGGCCACCTCCCTCACCTCCGCCCTGCCCCTCCGCCTGCCCCGGACTGGGCTGGACCAAACTGCCGGTGCCCCCACACCGGAGATGTGCCCTCCCTCCCCCCCTCTTAGTCACCAGCCTCCCCAAGCCCCAGCCTCGGCCCCGTCCTGTCTGCCTGCTCCTGTGTGTGCGTCTCTGGCTGTCTGCTGGCCTCTCTGTCCCTCCTCCCCTCACCTGGGTCTCTCTGGCTCTGCCTCTCTCTAGAACGACTGTGTCTGCATTCTGTCACTGCCCTTCTCCCTTTTCTGTCTTCTCAGTGAAGTCCGATTTCTCCGTCTCCACTCAGGCCAGGTCAGACGCTGGTTCTCTGTGCCTCTCTCTTCTCATACTTTGTAAGTTTTGCTCTCTCCTTCTGTCGCTGTCCCTCTCAGTCCCAGCCTCTATTCCTGTCTCTGAGCCCCCAGCCATGACAGGCGCAGGCTTCTGCCATGCCCAGGCCGCTGAGGGAAGTGTGCAGCTCCAGCCCACTAGGATATGTGCATATATATATATATATTCACACACACACACACACACACACACACATATAAAGGTATATGTACGTATTATTTATATCTGTACCCGGGGGCAGAGGGCAGACACTGGGGCCTTTGTGTAGCTGCTGCCCGCTGCCTGCCTGCCTGCCACTCCTCTCCCTTCGTCCCTGCCGCCCGCCCGCCTCCCCCCACCCCCACCCCCCCGCACAGAAAGGTTCCTGTGGGGCCTGCCAGCTTCCTCTGCCTGAGGTGTGAGTGGGCACACCACGGGTGAGGCGGGTGGGCGGGGGGCCTGGGGGATTTTTCCAGCTTCAGGGAAGCTTTCCGGGTGGGGAGGGCTCTCGGAGAAACGGGGCTTCTCGGCCGGGCTGCCGGCTGTGTCTGCTGTCCTTGGGTGTCCCCGGGGAGCCTGTCCGTTCACCTAACGTCACTCTGACTTTTTCTGGGCCGGTCTGGGTCTCACCCTGCCACTGAGCATGTGTGCTAGGGCCTGTATTGAACCCTGGAGGCGTAGGTAAATGAGATGCCCCCGGATTCTTTGCCATTTCTGTCTCGTTGGCTCTGTCCTTCTCTCAATGCTGGAGACCCCTCTACCTGTTCAAGAAAAATCCAAAGTCCTTACCATGGCCCTACAGCCGGCCCTCCGGCCCCCACGCCCCCTCACTGTCCCTTTGCCATCGCTGCCCCGGCCGCATGGAACAAACCAGGGCCTTTGTACACGCTGCTCCCCCAGATTCCTCCTGGCTCACCCCGTTACCTCCTTCCGTTCTTAGCGCCGTCTTCTCGGTGAGCCTTCCCTCCCTTCCTCCCTCTTGAAATAGCAACCCCCATCGTTCTCTATCCCTTTCCTCTGGCTTATTATTTTTTAATTCTTACCCGAGGATCTGTGTATTGATTCCAGTGAGAGAGGAACATCGATTGATTGGTTTCCTCCAGTTGGGAATCAAACCCTCAACCTTTTTGGTGTTTGGGACACGATGCTCCAACTGACTGAGCCACGGCTGTCCCATTTGCTGGGTCCGCCTGTACCTCTCACCCGGATGTCAGCTCCGGGAGAGTAGGGACTGCATCTGGTCCCGGCTGTGTTCACAGCACCCAGCTCGGGGTCTGGCCCTCGGTGGGCACTGTACACACTGACGGGAGGGGACAGGCCCTGAGCTGCGGGGACACAGTGGTGACTTCACTGTTTTCTGTCTCCTCATGGGCCAGCCTCCTCCTCTGCCAGGTCAAACCCTGGGCCTCTCTCTGCCTCTCTCCTCTTATACTTCGTAAGCTTCTCTCTCTCCCTCTGTCACTGTCCCTCTCAGCCCCAGCCTCTATTTCTATGTCTCTGAGCCCACAGCCACAACAGGGGCAGGGCTGGGAGATGAGAAGTGTCAGGACCCAGAAATGCCACCTGATGCAGCCTGGAGGTCCGGGAGGGCTTCCTGGAGGAGGTGTCAGCTGAGCTGAGACCTGGCGGGGGAGGAGTTGGCCAGGCCTTTGCAGGGGACCAAGGGACCAAAACAGATGGAGCCTGTCCTTCACAAAGCTCCATTCTGTCCCCGCTGCACAGAACTCTCCAGCTCAATCCTGCTCCTCGGTTTCACAGGGTGTCCATCTCACTGGCTCTTTATCCCTCTCCCAACCTTAGTCTCTCTTTCCCTCCTTCTATCTTTATTGTGCGCCAGGCTATTTCTCTTCTGGAAATATCCATGGACCTGGACATTCTGCTCCTTTTTTCTGAAGTTCGTTTCTGCCTCACCCTCACCTCAGAGGGTCTCTTGAGCTCTCCTGGTCCCTCGAGGTGTGCCTTCTCTCAGGGAGCTGGTCTCTGCATCTCCCTGCCACCTGCTGTCTCCCCCGCCCCCCCCCCCCCACGTCTCTTTTGTGTGTCTTTAAGAGCCTGGTCACCTCCTCATGATCCCCAAATACATCCAGCTCCCCTTCACTCTGGACCCACCCTGGTGTGGGGGGGAGGGGGGCCGATCCAGCCCCTCACACCCACACAGGTCAGGTCCTGTTAATGGTTAACCCACCTCTATCTAGAATACACACACCGACCAGGCTGGGGGTGACTCCCCTGCCCCCCCACCCACCCACCAGCTGTTCTTAAAGGACCAGGTGTCCTCCACAGCTCTTTGGCCCCGCGGAGAAGGAGGGCCCTGGTGTTTGGAGCCCTGAGGATGGGGGAGGGGAGCTGCCCAGTGCCTGCGTCTGCAGAGCTGTGTCCGGGAGGCCACGAGATGGCCAGGAGGGGTGCATAAGCAGGGAGCTCCATCCAGTCTCACTTGCCCTGGGCTTATCACCTGGTGTATTTAACCAGGGGTGGTTTTCCCAGCCCTGCCCAGAGCCCAGGCTGGCAGTGCCAGGGTGACTGAACACCTGAGACCTGATGGCTGGGGGAGGGGGAGGGAACCCTCAGTCCAAGAACTGGGGGTTTGAGCTCAAGGTGTAGACCCTCCTCCTCCTCCCCCCCAATATCTGGAGGTTGGGGCATATGGTCTGCAAGATGTGTGTGTGCGACACCTGAGTGACCCAGGTCCGAATGTTAGGCTTTTCCAGATTTAGTGACTAACACCTGGCCTGAGTTGGGGCAACTGTGGGTCTCAGTGTGAGACAGGGCTGCTCAGTGGCAAGACTACCATCCCCCAACTGTCCACCTCCTAGCCTTTGAGCCCGGCATCCCCCCTCCCCTCCCCGGAATTGCCACTTCAGGGTCACAGGGGAGGCCGATGGGGTGGGGGCTGGGCTTCTGGGGCTGCCCCTTCCCCTTAACCCCTACCTTGCCACAGCCTGCTCAGGCCCTGCCCCCTGACGTCAGCGAGCAGGAAGTCCTAGTTAATGATCAGCCCACCTGACAGGTGCGGGATAAGGCCTGGCACATCAGAGGCAGCCGCCAGAGGGAAGGGGAATGGGGGGGGGAGCATGGGGGGCGGTGCTTTCCCCCTGCCGGTGAGTGTTCTAGGATGGCCCCCCTTGAGGCTGGTCTCCCCGGATGCACCCGAGGAGCCAGTTCGGGTTTCCCAGGCGCCTGCCTCTTGCGCCCCAGGAGGCCAGCAGCAGCCAGCGTGCTTCCAAGGACCCCGTTAGTGACCCACGGAAGTCCGTCTCCTTCATGGAAGTCCCTCTAGCGATCTTGCCCAATTCTGACTCTGCCCGCAAGCCTCGCTCCCATCCCTCCTAAAAGCCTCCTGATGCACCTCCCCTCCCCTCACGGGCAGGCAGAGTCCTCCCCCCTATATCCTCGGTAAATACGGGGGAAGCTCCGGAAAAGAAACCCAATCCCCAAGCGTGGCGATGGCTCCCATGCCGCAGCCATCTCCCCGCAGCCTGTCCTGTCATCTGAAAAGCAGGCGGTGACCAGGGGCGGGCATTTGCCAGGCTCGCCAGTGGGCCTGCCTGGGCGAAGAGCGACACCTGGAGGACACAAGCAGCATCCTCCCTGCAGGGCCAGTCCCGTCCCAAAGAGGGCGCAGCAGCTCACACACTGAGGGACCACGAAGGAAAAGAAACCCACGTTTCGGTTTATTGAAGGGGGACAGGGGGCAGGAGAGGGAGCGATAAATGCTTTTGCTTCATTGATAAGAGCGACAAGTCCAGGAGGCCCTTCTCCAGGAGGAAGGGGCCGCCTCTTCCCCAACTACGAGCAGCAGCGAAGCCAAGCGGAGGAGGGGAAAGGGAAACCGGAGGGGCCGAGGGACCCCGAACACCGCCCTCAGACAGAGGCCACGGCTTTCTCCCCCCACCCTCAACGCGTGTACCCCAGGGGACCCCGTGGGAGGAGGACGGGAGTATGTACACGGGCGGGGGGGGGGGGGCACTGGGCTGGGGAGGGGAGGGAATAACTTATCCGCAGCAGCGGTGGGTGGCCAGGGGGCAGGGGCAGCAGGCTGGTGGCCGTGGTGGTCTAGGGGTCCCGTTCTTTCTTAACCTTGATGTCTCCGGCGAGGATGGTGGCGATCTCCCCCTGCATGAAGGCCCAGGGGACAGAGGAGCCCACCAGCGGGCACTTCTCTCCGCTGGGGCAGTACACCTCGCCGGCAGGGCCCTGCGCCTTGATGAACTCTCTGGAGCAGGGGAAGCAGAACTTGTGTCCGGGCACGGAGGGGCACTGGACGAAGTGGGTGTCTTCCAGCCGCTCCCGGCACAGCGTGCAGCACAGCGGGGCTCCGGGGGTGGCCCCGGTGCCGCCGCCGCCCCCGCTGACGGCTTCTGCCCCGGTGGTGGGGCTGACTTCGGCATCCCCGTTTCGGGCCACCAGGCGATGCTGGGCTACGGGCTGGGCCGTGGAGGAGGCCGCGGGGCTGGCACCCCCCGCGCGCCCAGGGCCGCCGCCCCCGCTGGGGTCCTTGGGGGAGTGGCCCAGGGCTTCAGCCACATTCTTCAGGGCGGCGATGGGCGAGGGCATCCCGGGGGTCTCGGCAGAGTACGGACCGCCGGGGGCCACCCAGTGTCGCTGCTGCTGCTCCTCGCTGGTCATCTTCCCGGCCGCCTCGCCCTCGGGCTCAGGGGACGCCTTGCGGCGGCGGGTGGCGGGCGCCAGGTTGCGGGACGGGGCCCTCGGGGGCGGGCCGCACAGGGCTGCGGGGGCCGGCTCGGGGTACTGCTGGGGCAGGGCCTCGGCCGGGGCGGGCTCCCGGAAGCTCCGGACGCCGTCGGTGAGCAGCTCTCCTAGCTGGCGCCACTCCCCCGAGCCGTGCCGGCGCTCGTACTCGAGGTACTTGAAGCCCGAGGAGGCCAGGGCCTTGCCCGGCTCGCGCAGGGCATCGTGAAACATCTGGCGGGCCACGGCCAGGACGCCCGCGTACACGTTGCCGGAGCCGCAGGGATACTCGGTGAAGAGCTTCAGCTCAAACTCGTAGCCCGGCGGGCGGGCGGCGGCGTCGAAGGCGAACACCCGGCCCACCAGCCCGTGATCCTTCTTGAAGCGGACGTTGAAGGGGGCGCAGGCGGACAGCGCCAGCAGCTGCTCCCGCACAGCTTTCGGGCGGCCGTGCCACTCCTCCGCCCTGCCCCGCATGGCCTCGTTCAGTTCCGCCAGGCAGTCCGCATTCCTCTGCTGCTTCTCCTTCTCGAAATCGGAGCCGAAGATCGGGCGGGCAGGGCTCAAGCCCGGTGCCAGGGTGAGAGCTCGGCTTCCCAGGCCGGTCACCGCAGCTGCCAGCAGCCCGGGGGGCACCAAGCCGGGCATGGAGCCAAGCAAGGCCCTTCTCGCCCCCTCCACCACCACGGCGTCCTCGCGGCCCAGCCCGTTGGCCAGGCGGGACCCCAGCGTGTACTCCAGGGCGGGCGAGGGCAGCGGGAGGCGGCCGGACGAGGTGGCCCTGTCGTAGCGGTCCTGGCCCGAGGTGCTGCCGCCGGCCCCCGAGGGCTGGGCCTGGGCCTGCGGCGGCGGCAGCTGGGGTCCCTGTGCGGCGGCGGCGGCGGCGGCAGAAACCAGGTCCTTGGAGGTGGGGTGCTTGAGGGCCGGGGGCCCCGGGGAGCGGCCCTCGGGGAGCACGTGGCTGCGCTTGAGCTGGCGGGCGGCGTCGATGAGCAGCTCGATGCGGTCCGCGCCCTCAAAGTTCACGCAGCCGCGGCACACGGCCTCGCTGAAGTCCCACACCATGGCCCACGGCATCTTGGGCAGGTCGCACAGGTAGCACCACTGGCGGCGGGACGCCTGCACCGACGCCATGGCCCCCCGCGCGCGCGCGCGCGCCGCCCGGCCCCCGCGCTCCACCCGCCGCCGCCGGCGTTCGATCCGCCGCCGCCGCCGCCGCGGTCGACGACGACGCTCCTTCTAGTCGCGTCCCCGGGAAGCGCGAGCCGCAGTCGGGCCTCGGGCTCGGCCTCCCCGCGGATCCAGGCCCGGCCCCCCTTCCCCGCCCCCTGGGCCCTAAGCCTTTTTCCTCACTCCCGCCTCCTCGGAAAGGCAGACACAGAGGCGCGTCGGCGCCCCCGTCCGGTCCGGGCTCCGGGGCCGAGGCGCGCACAGCTGGGGCCCGGGGATGGGCCGCGGGTGCCGCCGCCGCCCTCAGGCTCCCGCCGCTCGCGTCGCTTTCGCCGCCGCCACCACTGCAACGGCCGCCGCCGCCGCCGCCTCCACCTTCTTCTGCCCCAGAGGCCGCTTCGCAGGGAAAGTTACATAACGCGCCGGCAAAGCCTTCTGGGAAACGTAGTCCCGCCGGGGCCGGTTCTTAAAGGGGACGGCTGCGGCTGCGGCGGCGGCGGCGGCGGCGGCGGGGGTGGGGTGGGGGGGGGGTTCCCTCGTCGCTTCCTTGCCGCGCGCATCCCTTTGCCACTCACTCCTCCAAAAGGGCAGGGAGGTCGGGGCGCTGCGAGGAGCTCGGGCACAGGAGTTGGGGGTAAGGATGTGGTACCAATGGTCAGAGGTACCACGAACCCAGAAATGGTAGGAGACAGACATGTTTCCCGGCGTCCGCTTTCTGCTCCGACTTGCTGTGCAGCGTTAAGCGCCGGCCTTGCCCTCTCTGAGACTGGGTTCCCCGCCCGTCAAAGGTAAACCAATGGCCAGTAAAGAAGGCAGGCGCTCCAGGGTTGGAATGGAGGGGCCCTGATTGGATGGTTTCTGGGTAGGGGACGGGAAGTTGGCAATTGGATGGTGGTGGTGGTGGTGGTGGGGAGATTGTCCACTTGGCACTTTGTTTCCCTCAGACTCCCGGGTATCAGCCTCTGAGCCGGCCCAGCAGCAGCCAGCTACAAAGAGAGGCGCAGGCCTCTGCCTCAGTTGCCTCATCTGCCCTCCAACTCTGTTCCAGCTCCGACAGCGCGCTCTGGCGTCCAAAGGGTTACCACGTCCGTTTCTCCGCCCGCCTCCAACTTCACTACAACTCCCAGAATGCTTTGCGGATCGGACAAACTGACGCACTTCCGCTGTCTGGGAGGTCGGGGGGGGAGGCCTTCCCTATTCCCACAGACTGTCCTACCTCCGACACCCCCATCAATTTGGTGGTGGTGGTTTTGGGGGGCGGGAGGCGGTTTTCTCCCGTGTTTTCGGAGCACGGAGTTGAGGGGATCACCACCTTCTACTGCTCCCCAATTGGAGGGAGGAGGAGGAGGCCAGAGATGGCGAGCAAGAGTCGGGGTGGGGGGTGGGGGTTAGTCTCTGAGAAGAACTAGCGTCAGACCACCTTTCAACAACCTTGAGTGCCTACTACCTGATAGGCCCAGCCAGGCTTTGGGGCCCCCGTGTTTTTTCTTATAATTTTTTTTTTTTAAATTGCAGAGAGGGAGTCAGAAATAGAAGCATCAGTGATGAGAACCATGGATTGGCTGTCTCCAGCAGGTCCCCTACTGGGAATAAAAGCCTGCAACCCCAGCACGTGCCCTGACCAAGAATCAAACCCTGACCTTCTGGTCCATGTTTGTTTTTTCTTCTTCTAGTCGTTGGGAATAGTGCCAGGCAAGCTGATGTGAGGGCTGGGCGGGGAAGACAGGTCTCTAAGTCCTAACCTCCATTAGCCTCTTCCTAAGCCTGAGTCCAATTTAAGAACACCAAAATAGTTTAATGTATCGTCAGCGTTGCATTCTTTAATGTTTACTGATCAGGGGCTGCCTACTCCTCTCCCTCATCCAGCTGCAAGCACAGCAGCTCTGATTTTATGTTACCCGCCTCTAACTTGTGAGAAACGGACTTCTTGCCCAGCGGGTGTGCTTCAGTGGTTGAGCGCTGTGGACCTAGGAGCCGGGAGGTCACGGTTTGATTCCCATCAGGGCACACGCTGAGGCTGCAGGCTTGATCCCCAGTGTGGGGCTTGTGGGAGGCAGCCACTCAATGACTCTCATCATTGTTGTTTCTCCCCCTCTCTGAAATTATACACTCTGGAAAGGGCTCCTTTTGCTTTAACCTAAGCAATGTTATGTGCACAATCATGGCTCTGTGTGCTATCTACATTTGTACAAAAGTTAAAGGTGCATCTACAACTATTATAAAAGGGCCACCAGGTATTACTGAAAATTGCATTTGGGTCATCCTCTAGCAAACTCTACTGGCAGACAAGAATTTTGGCCAGATGCCAGCTTCAGGTGGACTGGATTGGCACCTGACAAGTTTAAGGCTAGTTCCTAAACTCAGGGGGGGAAAAAAAACAAAAAAACGGAGACCTCTAGATTCTGCTTTTCACTGGCTACCTTCAGGTGAAGATGCAAACATGCGTATGAATGCTGAGCATGGTGCCTGGCCCGGAAAGAAGCACTGTAAGTGAAGTGTTTGTTTTTAAGCTGCCCATTATTTCAAAGATTCAACTCCTCTTCAGCATAGGTAATGCTGAGGACACAGGAGTGACCGAGAGAGGCTCAGGCCTTGACCTGACAAGGCTCAGCCTAGTGAGGGAGGTAGACCTGCCATTTAAATGTGCTCAGCGTCAGCTTGAGGACTGAAGGGTCCCAGGTTCGATTCCGGTCAAGGGCATGTACCTTGGTTGCGGGAATATCCCCAGTAGGGGGTGTGCAAGAGGCAGCTGATCGATGACTCTCTCTCATCGATGTTTCTAACTCTATCTCTCTCCCTTTCTCTCTGTACAAAATCAATAAAATATATTAAAAAAAAAATAAATGTGTTCAGATGATTAACTTCATTTTTGGGTAACTGCTGGGGGAGAGGAGGTGATATTTGAGCTAAGGCCTGGAAGGTAAGTAGAATCTAGTTGTAGAAAATAAAGCCTCCTACATCAAAAGATGCCCATTTTACAGATGAGGAAAATGGAGGACTGTGGTTACATAGCTGGCCAGGGCACACCAGGGGTGGAGCCAGGTATGAATCCAGGGAGGTGGTTATTACCTGCTTTGCTCCAGGCTCTGCAGCAGGTTTCAGAGTAAGAAAATCAGCTGCTGGGCTGAAACCGGTTTGGCTCAGTGGATAGAGCATCGGCTTGCGGACTGAAGAGTCCCAGGTTCGATTCCGGTCAAGGGCATATGCATTGGTTTAGGCACATCCCCAGCAGGGGGTGTGCAGGAGGTAGCTGGTCAATGTTTCTCAACAGTGTTTTTAGCTCTCTAGCCTCTCCCTTCCTCTCTGTAAAAACTCAATAAAATATATGTATATTTTAAAAATCAGCTGCTGGGACTCGTTCCCCTCTCCAACTGGGAGTCTGTGCTTGTTTCTCAGTAAATTCCCACCTTTGCTATACTAAATAAATTAATTAATTAATTTAAAAAATCAGCTCCTGCCTTCTTGAACTATGGAGGAAATGTGTTTTAATTGGGGACCCTATTAAGTAGCAGACCCATCCTAGGGGGCAGGGGATCCAGGATGCTTTGCTGGAGAAGACATTTCTGTGACGTCTGAAGGATGAGTAAGTAGGAATAACATTCGAACACTGGCCTTGACAGTTTTAGCAAAGGCTCCAGTCTCTGACTTCAAGGGTGTGTCGCCAGCTCATGGGAGGGAGGGGCAGGTGTAGGGACTGAAATCCTAGGCCTGTCTCAGCCGGAGCCTCAAGTGATTGTATTAAAAATAAGTTTATTGGTATCTTGTCACCACTGAGGAGAAAGGAAGGGGCTGACTTCCGGAGGTCAGAGGGCAATGGGAGGCAGAGGACCCAACCTGTACCTCCCCGTGACAACTCCCCCCTCCCCCCCCAACACAGACTGCTGTGTCCTCATAGTCATCCACGTTCGGATTTGTCTCGCCGCCCCCACTCCCTCCCAAGTCTGGACTGGGAAGTGGGGAGGCCCCCGGCAGATCAATTCTCTTCAAGTCAAGACCAGGAGTGGTTAGGGGAGGGGGATGTGCAGCCCACCGAAGGCGGTAAGAAAGAACATAAAACCAATGGCTTAGAAGTCAGGATTAAGGGAAGCAGCCAGGCAGACAGCGCTGTACTGGACAAGGGGCTGGGGGGGCCCATGGGCGAGGGCCCCCGCGAATCAGGCACTAACTAGTATGGGGGATCGGATAGGGGTGCTCACCCCCTGCAGCAGGGAGCCAGGGTGCAGCTGGCGCAGGGCAGGCGCATGGCCCTCCTCCGCCGGGCAAAGCTGGGGGAGGCGGTGCAGGCAGAAAGTGCAGACAAGCTTGAATCCAATGGCAGGTTTCACGGAGATTTCCACCGGCCTCGCCTCTTCCGCGTGGGAAAACCTTTCCTCCTCTTGTGTGGGGGGGAATCATGGGGAGGAGGAGGGGTTGGGGGCGCCCGGGGGGTCCTTTCCTCGTTTCTAAGGGCGACGATCACCCCCCTGGCTGCCACCTTGGCCGGGTCCACGACAGCAGCCACCAGGGACACGGGCTCTGGGGTGCTCTCCACCTTGGGGGCGGGTGGAGGCAGGACAGGCCTGGGGGGCGGGGGGGGCGGGGGGGGGCGGGGGGTCCACGGGGGTTCCGGGCAGAAGGGGCAGCAGGGCGCTGAGGGCCTCGCTCAGCTTGGTCAGTCCCTGCCGCAGGGTGCCAGCCAGCTCCCTGATGGCGTTGGCGGTCTCCTGCTGAGCCCGCAGGAAGTCCAGGGAGGGGTCTGGGGCCGAGGGCACAGGCAGAGGCAGGAGTGGGGGCGAAGGGCTGGCGGGCGAGGGTGCCCCTTGAACCTGCTGCGATGGCGGGGGTGCCGGAGGGGCTGGGGGCGGTGGAGACAAGGCCAGACGGGGCAGCTGGACGGTCTGCAGGGCCGGAGGGGGTGAGGACTCACGCTGCTTGGGCAGTGGTGGGCAGCCCCTCTCCGGGGGGCTGCAGGAGGGCCGGGCTGAGGGCTCCGGGCTGCTGGAGCCCCCCTCGCTGTGGGCTGGTGGGTCTGCGGAGAGAGATTTGGGAAGGTGTGCATGACGCTGCGATGCTGTCTGGATTTCTCCTTCCCGCCTCCCACCCACCTCAGCCCCAGAGCCACCTTTAAGACTTGTCAGGTCATGCCTTGCAACAGAAGCCCGCACTCTGCAGAGTCAGTGCGTTAGACTGATACCCTGGCGGCCTCCGCTGAATCGGGCAGAGCCAACCTAGAATCTGGAAGGCTCGGACCCTCTGATACTCTGTCCCCGCACTTCTCAGACCTCTTTGCTGGGTCCCAGGGAGAGAGGGGTGGTGGCCGGAGCGGCAGGGGCAGTCCTGGAGGCTGGCAGGAGGGGTTGTCTCCTACCGGGATGATGCCAGGATGTCAACCTCGGCTCTGGTCTGTACCAGTGCGCCCCCAGGCCTGCCGGGCTTCCTCCATCTCATCTCCCCCCGGGATCTCATTCATGCTGTGAACTTGAACAGTCCTTCTCTCCACTGTGGACTCCGCATACCCTGCTGATCATCTACCAATGCCTCTGGCTCTCTTGCCCGGAGCTGAGCTCCTGGTCCCCCCAGCCTGCTCCTCCCCCAGCCACCCCCATCGCGGCTCATGGCAGCTCCACCCTTTCAACCTGAACACAGTCCACATGCAGAGGCTTCCAGCTTCCCAGGCCCAGCCTGGACCCTTCTCTCGGGCCACAAACTTTTCCTCTTGCCCTCGCCGGTTTGGCTCAGTGGATAGAGCACACTGGCCTCCCGTCTTTTTCAAGTGAAGGGTCCCGGGTTCGATTCTGGTCAAGGGCACATGCCCAGGCTGTGAGCTTGATCCCCAGTAAGGGGGGCGTACAGGAGGCAACCGATCAATGATTCTCTCTCATCATTGATGTTTCTATCTCTTCCTCTCTGATATCAATAAAAATATATTTAAAAACCAAACAAACAAAAACCCTTTCCTCCTTTTCTCTCCCAAGACCCCACCACCCATCGACAAACACCATTGGTTCTGCCTCCACACGAATCCAGCACCCAACCTCCACGGCCCCCACCTGGTCCACCCATCACCTCCCACCTGAACCACAGCAGCTGCCTCCTCACCGGCTTCCTGCTTCCACCCTGCCCCTGACAGGCTGCTCTCCGCAAGAGCCTCAAGGGCCCAACCGAAATACATGTCAGTTATGCTACAGGAGAGAAGCCAGTCACCAAGGACTCCGTGTCACGTGACCCACTTATACGAAATGTCCAAAATAGGCACCTCTGCAGAGACAGACAGTAGATTAGTGGCTGCTTAGGGCAGGGTGGAGATGGGGGGATGGGCAGAGGGTGATGGCTAAGAGGTGCAGGGATTCTCTCTCAAGTGAAGGAAAAGTGTCTGAAATGGACTGTGATGGTTGCAGACTCTGTGCATATGGGAAAAGCCACTGACTTGGGGCAGGCGGGCTACACGGTATGGGAATTCTAGCTTAATGAAGATGTTAAAAAAATACAAGTCAGTTCTAACCGGTGTGGCTCAGTGGATAGGGCGTCGGCCTGTGGACTGAAGGGTCCCAGGTTCTGTTCCGGTCAGGGGCATGTACCTCGGTTGCGGGCGCAACCCCAGTGGGGGTTGTGCAGGAGGCAGCTGATTGATGTTTCTCTCTCATCGACGTTTCTAACTCTTTATCCCTCTCCCTTCTTCTCTGTTAAAAAATCAAATAAAATATATTTTTAAAAACACACAAGTCAGATGTTGTCTTTGTCAGCTCAAAGCCTTCTGGCTTTCATCTCACTCAGAGGAAGGAAAGTCCTCAAAGACCCCAAGTTTCTGCAGGATCTGCCCCATGATCTCCCAGACCTCACCTCCCTCCCCACTGCCTTTATCTTGTTCATGTGGCTCCGCCACCTTGGCCTTCTCATTGGTCCTCACACAAGGATGTTCCTGCATCAAGGCCTTTGCATTTGCCATTCGTTGGCCTGGAAAGGTCTTTCCTCAGACCCACCTGCCTGGCTCCCTCCCTCGCCTCCTCAGGCCTCTGCGCCCAGGTGGCCTCCTTGGGAAGACACTCCTTGATCTCCCCTCTTCCATGGCTCCCATCCCTGGGCTAAAACGGCTCCGCTGTCCTCCCACGCTACTGTCCTCACAGCCATTCTCGGGATAGGTGCTCCCACTATCATCCCATTTTACAGATTAGGTGACTGAGGCCAGAGAGGTGCCACAGGCCTGGCGAATGGTAGAAGAGGGAGTGGAACCCAGGTAGGTTCCAGAGCCCACACTTTTATCCCCTCCCTGGGCAGCGGCTGTGGGCCTGGGGGTGGTGAGTCTCACTCAGAAGGACATGCGAACTGCAGCCACCTGAAAATAGGGCTTTTCGTCTACTGAGAAAGAGGCCCTCTCCCCACACTCACAGGGCTCATGGAGGGACCATCACACCGGAATTAAGATCCTATTTGCCCAGGTTGAGCCGCAGTTTCCCTACCTGTAACTGGGTGTGTGTGAGTGCCTGAGACCAAGGGCCCCCATAACAGATCATCTTCCTGACGGCCATTACTCGGAGTCACTGACTCACCTCTGGCTTAAGTGTCGGATACACAGTGAGAATTCTCCATGTTGTTATGGAGAATTCTTAGGTCTGAGAGAAATGGTCCTAATTCTCTCTCAGTGTCAACAAAGACACCTCAGGCAGCCCCAGGCTGTTTCAGTCCTTCAGTTCCTCTTTTGAGTTTGGCACTGTGGGTCTTCGAGACACTATTCTGATCAAAGAGATTTAAGCTCACTCCTGCCTCAGGGCCTTTGCTTGTGCTGTTTCCTCTAGCTGGATGCAGTGCTTTCCTCAGATACTCATCCGCTTGGCTCAATCTCTCTGTTCAGGTTACTGTGCAAAGTTCACCTCCTCCGAGAAGCTGACCCTCACTACCCTGTCTAAAGCAGCCCTCCTTCCAATGCTCATGATCCTCTGAATGCCTTATTTTTCTTTTTAGTTTTCATAACCTCCCCTATGTGATCCATGTTGGACTGTTTGTGGTCTGTCAGTTTCATAAGGAAAACTGTCTTTCTGCACAGTATTCCCCGTATCTACAACAGTGCCTGCCTCAGAAAGGTACTCATTAAACATCTGTTGAATGAATGAATGAATGAAGGGGCTCCACAGGTTTTGAAAAAACAAGTTTAGCACGTCCACTCCAGTTCAATCGGCCCATTTCACAGATAGAAACACTGAGTTTTCATTCTCACTGAGAATAAGAGCCACAAGTGATTATGTCTTTCTCCTGCTCAAGACACTTACATGACTTCTAAATGCCCTCAAGATAAAGTCCAGCCCTAGCCGGTTTGGCTTGGTGGATGGAGCATCTGCCAGTGGACTGAAGGGTCCCGGGTTCGATTCCGGCCAAGGGCACAGGCCTGGGTTGCAGGCTTGATCCCCAGTAGGGAGCGTGCCGGAGGCAGCCGATCAATGATTCTTTCTCATCATTGATGTTTCTATCTCTCTCTAACCCTCTCCCTTCCTCTCTAAAATCAATAAGAGAATATTTTTAAAAAAAGATAAAGTCCAAAGTCTGGCCTTCACTTGCAAGCCATGTGTAACCCAATGCTGGCATGCTCATTGCTTTCAGTCATACTGATGGTTGTTACTGCCAGGCAATCTAGCCCAATTGCTAAGTGCATGGACTGCGAGTTGGACACACGTGTATTCCAGTTTGAACTCTACTCCTTACTTGCTGTGTGACCTTGGGTGGGGGAAGGAACCTCTTTGAATCACACGATCCTGAACTGCTTGGTTTGATCCTGTCCCTCTTTCCTCAAAACCCTCCCGTGGCTTCCCACAGCACTTAAGGAGAACATTCAAACTCCTCAATCCAGCCTAAAGGCCCTGCGGGGTCTGGTCTTTGCTGACCTCTCCAGCCTCACCTCAAAACATTTCCCTTCTTCCATCTTTCCACGGTCCCTCTCCTCTCTTCAACGGGGAGACTTCAGGTCTCTGAACTGACCGATCTTTCTTGCTTCCAAACCACTGGACATGCTGTGCCTTCTACCAGGAACAATCTCCTGGCCCTTCATCCTCACTCTATGTCTCAGCTCTGATTTCTCCTCCTCCAGGAAGCCCTCCTTGACCTCCCAGGCTAGGTCAGCTGGGAGTCATCCCTGACTACGTATGAGTCTGTCTTCCCCACTGGACTGGGAGTCCCAGGAGGGCAGGCCTGAGGATGTCTCAGCCACAGACAGAAACACTGAGGTTTGATTCACACTAAGAACAAAGGTCCAAATTATTGTGTTTCTTTCCTGCTTAAGACTCCCGAATGCCCTCAAGATGAAGTCCAAAGTCTGACCTTCAATGTGTCCCCAACACTGCCCAGCAGCGGACAGTGCCTGGGGAATACTGTATAAGAAATAATAACCTAGCCCTAGCCGGTTTGGCTCAGTGGATAAAGTGTGGGCCTGCGGACTGGAGGGTCCCAGGTTTGATTCTGATCAAGGGCATGTACATTGGTTGCGTGCACATCCCCGGTGGGGGGTGTGCAGGAGGCAGCTGGTCGGTGTTTCTCTCTCATCGATGTTTCTGGCTCTCTATCCCTCCCTCTTCCTCTCTGTAAAAAAATCAATAAAATATATTTTTAAAAAAAGAAAAAAAAAGAATAACCTAGCCCTAGCTGGTTTGGCTCAGTGGATAGAGCGTCGGCCTACAGACTGAAAAGTCCCAGGTTCAATTCCGGTCAAGGGCATGTACCTTGGTTGTGGGCACATCCCCAGTAGGGGGTGTACAAGAGGCAGCTGATTGATTATTCTCTCTCATCAATGTTTCTGACTATCTATCCCTCTCTCTTCCTCTCTGTGAAAAATCAATAAAATATATTAAAAAAATAAAATAAAAAAGCTAATAATGAGTATTCAAGAGGCCATGTTCTAAGCAATTTATGCAAATTAATTCACTCAATCTTTTCAACCACCTTTGGGTAGCAACTACTTTTTATCCCCATTTTACAGATACAGAAACTGATCTGCAGTTAACTTACCCAAATTGACAGAGCGGAGTGGCAAAGTTGTGACTGGAGCTCAGTCTGCCTCCAGAGTCACTACCCCACAACACGTTTATTTATTTATTTTTATTTATTTATTTTTTTAATATATTTTTTATTGATTTTTTACAGAGAGGAAGGGAGAAGGATAGAGAGTTAGAAACATCGATGAAAGAGAAACGTCAATCAGCTGCCTCTTGCACCCCCCCAATGGGGATGTGCCCGCAACCAAGGTCCATGCCCTTGACCGGAATCGAACCTGGGACCTTTCAGTCCGCAGGCCGATGCTCTATCCACCGAGCCAAATCGGTTTCGGCCCCACAACACGTTTAACTGAAATGATGCCTTGCCCTAGCTCAGAGGTCGGCAAACTGCGGCTCGTGAGCCACACGCGGCTCCAAAGCCGCGGTTTGCTGTTCTGTTAACTAATGAGTTTGCCGACCACTGGGACAGGGACTTAATCACAAGGAACAACAACAACCTGCAATTATTGGAATTGATTCTCCAGGTCAGTGGTCGGCAAACTGCGGCTTGAGCCCTAGTTGGTTTGGCTCAGTGGACAGAGCGCTGGCCCGCGGACCATAGGGTCCCTGGCTGGGATTCGGTCAAGGGCTCCATCCCCAGGAGGCAGCCGCTCCATGATTCTCTCTCATCACTGTTGTTTCTCTCTCCCTCTCCCTTCCTGTCTGAAATCAATAAAAATATATTTTAAAAAGGATTAGATCACAAAATTTAAAAAAAAGAGAGAAAAAAGAAATGAAATGATGCCTGAGCTAAGGACTCTGGGTGTGCACTCTGGGGCCAGGCCTCCTCGGGCTGGGATCTGTTCCTGCCTCTGCCAGTCACTAGCGGTGGCACCTGAGGCAAGTCGTTTCACCTCTCCGAGCCTCAGTTTCCCTAGGTTTAACATTGGGGATGCTGACAGCATCCACCTACCAGGGTTGCAGTGAGAATCTGAGGAGCCACCTCAAGGGCTGGGACCCGCGCCAGGCACCCAGCAGACTTCGAACCATCACACCCAGGTGACGGTGAAGGCACTCACCTGCCCCTCGGTCTTCCCTGCGGTGGTCCTCGGACAACACACAGCGTTCGGTGTAAGCACCTGGGGCCAGCGGCTGCGAGGGGGGCGCCGCCGCCGGGGGCTGCTCCGCCCCGGCACCAGCCCCCGGCCCCGGCCCTGGCCCCGCCACACCCGGCCCCAGGATGGCGAAAATGGTCTCCTCCTCGGCCGAGAAGGCGTCCTCGGCGGCGGCCCCGGCGCCCTGCGTGGAGTGCGGCACGCGGGCCAGCTTCTCCTTGGTGCGGCGCTTGAAGTCGTTCCAGCGCTTCTGCACCTCCTGGCCGGTGCGCTTCCAGCTGGTGATGCCGTTGATCTTGGCCGCGATGCCGTCCCACACGCGCCGCCGCTCGGCCACGCTCACCCGACGGCTCTGCGCGCCGTAGAGCTGCGGGTAGTGGGCGCGCACCTCCCGGATCAGGATCTGGTTCTCCTCGAAGGAGAAGCGCGGCTTGCGCAGCCGGGTGGTCTCTTCCGCTTCGGCCACCGCCGCCGCCGAGGCCATGGCGCCCCCCGACGCCGCCGGCCGGCCGCCTGGCGCATGGGGGGCGCCGGCGCTGCGGGCACAGGGCGCACCGCGCTGGCGGGGGGCTCGGCGTCCCCGCGCCGCCAACCCCACCCCGGCCGGCTGCTGCCGCTGCGACACCGGCTCCTAAGCACCCGGGGCCGGGGATCGGGGCGGGGGGCGGGGGGCGATGGGCCGTGGGGGGCGGGCAGTCCGAGCGGACACCCGCGGAGCGCTCCTCCCCTGCCCGCGAGGCGCAAAGTGCCAAGCCGAGGAGGAGCGGATGGCGATGGGGAGGCTTTGGAGGGGTGGAGGGAAAGGGGGCAAAGCGGAAGAGGGGGTGTCTGCGGGGGTCAGAGGAGAATGGGGGCACAGGGAAAGTGGAAGGAGGATGGGGGTGTTTCGGGGGTCGACAAAGCACAAGGGTCATGGGGGTAAACGATGCTGGAGGGGAGATGCAGCAGGAAGGGGGGGTCTGGAGCAGAGGAGCGCTCTGGGGGTTCCGGGCCAATGGGACGTCCGTGAGACCATTAGGAGAAGGGGTCCTCCGAGGGGGGATGAGCAGGAATAACGGGGAGTTGGGGGGCTCCTAGGTCAGTGGGGCTGGGACGATGGAATATTAGGAACTGGGGTCTGCAGAGATTGCGGGGGGTGGGGGGGGGCTCCGGGGATTGCTGGAAATTACGGGGCGCCCTGGGGGCAACGGGAGTCAGGGATTAGGCGGGGGGACAACCGAAGCTATTGGGGCGGGGGGGGGGCTCCTGCAAGAGTGAGGGTCGCGGAGGGTGGGGACCGAGTCGGGCCGCGGGGTCACTCACCGGCGCCGCCGCAGCCCCCGCCTGCCCGTCGGTCAAGGCTCGGGCTTCTGCGGCCTCTTCCCTCCCTCCCCCCGCTCCTCTCCGGGCTCCCCCTCCTCGGACCCCGCCTCCCGCAGCCGGGAGAGCCGCGGCGCAGGCGCACCGCACGCCTGGCGGTCCCCGACGCCCCGGCCGCCGGGGGTTCACGCCCCGCCCACGTCGCAGGCGCAGGGCCGCCTCCCGCCAGCCTCCGCCCGCCGCGGCCTCCGGTGCCACCACGGCGCACGCGCAAAAGCCTGCCTCACGCATGCGCGCCCCCTGCCTCTAGCCTTGGTACCCAAGGCTGCGGCCCTGCGCAGGCGCAGCAAGCCTCGGGGGAGGCAGGGGAGACCTGAGGGAGAGCCCTGGGACCGAGCGGCGTCCCGCCTTTTGAAAAAAAAACCCAAAAAACAATAACTTCTAAATATATTTTATTGATTTTTTACAGAGAGGAAGAGAGAGGGATAGAACTAGAAACATCCATGAGAGAGAGACATGGATCAGCTGCCTCTTGCACACCCCCCACTGGGGATGTGCCCGCAACCGAGGTACATGCCCTTGACAGGAATCGAACCTGGGACCTTTCAGTCCGCAGGCCGATGCTCTATCCCACATGTGTCAAACACAAGGCCCGAGGGCCAAATCCGTCCCGCCAGGCCTTGCAATGTGGCCCGCACCGCGCTGTCATCACTGCACTCCACTGTGTTCCATCACAATGACAGTTTATGACTGTTCAGTAAACCATTCGGCCCGCGATTTAGGCTGGATTTTAGATTTTGGCCCCTTCTCTGATTGAGTTCGACACCCCTACTCTATCCACTGAGCCAAACCGGTTTGGCCCATCCCCGCCTTTTGGACTTGCAGCCCACCCAGCTCAATAACTATGCATATGTGTGTGTTTTTTTTCTCTAGGAGAAAAGGGAGGGAGACGGCGTTGGAGGGATGCGCTTTGTTTCCATGACAACTGCGTGGGTGGGGTGGAAAGGGGGGTTCCTCCTAAGAAAAAACGGGTTGTCGCCTCCTTTTACTCACCCCTGCGCGGGACTACTCGGGATCCGCTAACCACCTATTCCCCGGAGGGGCGGGGCACCCTGGGAATATGATGCTCCAGGCGGGCGCAGTAACTATGGCAACGCATAAAGCTTCCATCCATGCCTGGGGGGCTCCCCTATCCACACGTTTCCTTCATGAGGCAAGGGAGGGAGACGGAGGGAGAGCCTCCTCCGTAGGGAGGGCGATCCTGGCGCGGGTATGACTTTAAAAAGCAAATGCAGGGAAGCAGGAACTAATCTAGAAGACAGTTGGGTGAGCTGGAAGGCAGGATGAAACATTTGTAATTTAGTAGTCCGCAGGAGACTTCAAGGTCATTCAACCAGCAGTGCTTCATCTATTCAACAAATGTTTATTGAACGTCTACACAGTTCCAGGTGCAGGGAATACAGAAGACAGAAACCTATACCTTCATGGTGCTCACTTTTTACGTGGGAGAATAAGACCATTGGCAAAATAAATAGGCGTATAAGTGAGAAGGCGATAAATATTATGAAGAGAATGGAAGGGAAAGGGCTTGGGGAGTCTAAGGGAGGCCTCATTTAAGTAGAGAGGTGACATTTAAAGAGAGAGGTGAACCCTAACCGGTTTGGCTCAGTGGATAGAGCATCAGCCTGCAGATTCAAGGGTCCCCAGGTTCGGTTCTGGTCAAGGGCATGTACCTTGGTTGCGGACACATACCCAGTGGGGAGTGTGCAGGGGGCAGCTGATCGATGTTTCTTTCTATCCCTCTCCCTCCTTCTCTGTAAAAAATAAAAAAAAAATGTATTTAAAAAATAAATTAGAGAGGTGACATTTATTTTTATTTTTTTTAAATATGTTTTATTGATTTTTTACAGAGAGGAAGAGAGAGGGTAGAGAGTTAGAAACATCGATCAGCTGCCTCTTGCACACCCCCTACTGGGGATGTGCCCTCAACCAAGGTATGTGCCCTTGACCGGAATTGAACCCGGGACCTTTCAGTCAGAAGGCCCACGCTCTATCCACTGAGCCAAACCAGTTTTGGCGACATTTAAGTAGAGAGGTGAAGCAGGTGAGAGAGCAAGTGCAGCCAGGGTTATGACTTGCCTGGTGTTACAGGAGCATCTAGGAAGCCGATGGGGATGGAGGGAGTCAGGGGTGGGCAGGGTGGGGAGCCAGATGGCGCAGGGTCTTGTGGGTCCGTGCTGGCACTTAGGCCTTTACCCTCCATGAGGTGAGAGCCAGGGGCGGGGCCTGCACTGGGGAAGGACTCAGTAAGATTCCTCTGGGGACCTGCCTTCAGGGAACCAGGATGGAAGCTGGGAGCCCAGCGAGGAGGCCACTGCCCTGGTTCAGGAGATGGTGGCTCCAACCCAGGTGGTAGCAGGGAAGGCGAGGTGAAGTGGATTGCCCATGGAAGTGAGAGAACGACAGAAGTGCAGGGTGACTCCAGTGTCTTTGGCCTGAGTAACAGGAAGGATGCAGCCACCAGAAGCAATGGTGGGCAGAGCTGCAAGAGGATCAGGAGTTCGCCCTAACCGGTTTGGCTCAGTGGATAGAATGTCGGTCTGCAGACTGAAAGGTCATAGGTTCGATTTCAGTCAGGGGCATGCACCTTGGTTGCGGGCACATCCCCAGTGGGGGGTGTGCAGGAGGCAGCTGATCAATGTCTCTCTCTCATCAATGTTTCTAACTCTCTATCCCTCTTCCTTCCTCTCTGTAAAAAATCAATAAAATATATTCAAAAAGAGGATCTGGAGTTCAAGTTTGCCTAAACTTGCGGTGTCCATTAGTCTCTCCAAAACAAATGGCAGGTAGTCAGCTGGATATTTGAGTCTGGACTTCAGGGGAAGAGCTTCAATCCTGAGATAGAAATTTAGGCGTTGTCAGTGAATAAATGCCCTGTAAGTCCCTAAGGCTGGGAGAGGCCAACCAGGGACCATTGTAGGTAGAAAAGAAGCCCAGGCTGGGGAGGAGCTACCAGGGAGTCAGAGGAGCACCTGGCTGTGGGATGCCCTGGAGGCCCAGTGAAGGAGGAGGGGAGGGTGGTGGGTGCCAAATGCTTGCTAGAAGCCAAGTCTGATGCAGACTGAGAACTGACCTCTTGAGCTAGCAAGATGGAAGTCACCAGTCATCTATAAAGGAGCCATGGGTGGGAGTGAGGGGCTGTAGCTTGTCTGGGTGAGTTCAGAGAGGCTTTGGAGAGAGTCGGCACAGGTGATTCTTTGCAACACAAAAATGCGGTGGTTTCTTTTTTCTTTTTTTAAAATATATTTTATTGATTTTTTTACAGAGAGGAAGGGAGAGGAATAGAGAGTTAGAAACAACGATGAGAAACATTGATTAGCTGCCTCTTGCACACTCCCTACTGAGGATGTGCCTGCAACCAAGGTATATGCTCTTGACCGGAATCGAACCTGGAACCCTTGAGTCTGCAGGCTGATGCTCTATCCACTGAGCCAAACCGTTCAGGGCTCTTAAAATATATATATATATATATATATATATATATATATATATATATATATATATATATATTGATTTCAGAGAGGAAGGAAGGAGAGAGAGATAGAAACATCAATGATGAGAGAGAATCATTGATTGGCTGCCTCCTGCACACCCCCTACTGGGGATCAAGCCTGCAATCAGGCATGTGCTCTTGGCCGGAATCAAACCTGGGACCCTTCAGTCCGCAGGCTGATGCTCTATCCACTGAGCCAAGTCGGCTAGGGCAATGCGGTGGTTTCTGAAGGGGGTATGGGATCCCGGAAGGTGTATTTCAGATGGTAGGTGTAACACTAGGTCACGTGCCAATAGAAAGATCTAGAAGAGGGGAGATGGACGCTGCTGAGGGGGAAGGGGAGAATTGCTGGAGCCCTGTCCTTGAGTAAGCACGGTGGGTGGGTTCCAGGGCCCATGCGCTGTTCTGCCACAGTGAGGGGGGAGGGAGCGTATGGGCACGGAAGCAGGCCGGTGGCAGCATGTGGTGTCAGGAAAGGTGAACATTCTCTCCTCCTTCCTTGTTGTCTTGGTAAATTAGGAAGCAGTTTCCAGGTGAAGGGAGGTGTTGAGGATGGAGAGAGAGGGGGAGAACATGCGGTAGTGAGTGAGTGGCCAGGGAGAGGTAGGCAGACAGAACCAATCGCCTGAGGTTCCTGGATAGTAAACTGAAACGAGATGAGTCGCTGTGGCTGTGTGTTTCTCTCTGGCTGTATTTTTCCGAGTGGGTGCAGGTGCAGACCGGGTGGCAAGCTGACTGTCACCAGGGCTGGGTTTATATGAGGTCCCACATGTGCCCCATGAGGGGACCGGGTCCAGCAGACAGGACAGCCCAGGCAGGATCTTCTGGGCCATGTAGAGGCCGTGGGCTCTGAGCCAGGAAGCAGGGGTCTCACGTGTGCTTTAGGAAGGCCCCCTGGCCGCTGTGTGCAGGGTGAATGGAGAGTCCAGGGAGAAGTCTAGAGCAGGGGCCCGGAAGGGGAGGGGCTACTGGACCAGAGCAGAGATGTGGGAAAGGGAGAAATTAATTGGAAGGCATCTGGGAGACAGAATGTAAAGAGTGCAGAGCCTGTCAGGCTGGGGAGCAGGGAGATGTAGGGGACACCCAGTTCTCTGGCCCAGGTCCCAGTTGGGGATATAGGGCCAGTTAAGACATGGTGAGCCCTAACTGGCTTGGCTCAGTGGATAGAGTGTCAGCTTTCAGACTGAAGGGTCCCGGGTTTGATTCCGGTCAAGGGCATGTACCTTGGTTGCAGGCACATCCCCAGTGGGGAGTGTGCAGGAGGAAGCTGCTGGATGTTTCTCTCTCTTCGATGTTTCTAGCTCTCTATCCTTCTCCCTTCCTCTCTGTAAAAAATCAATAAAAAAATAAATAAATAAAAAAAGGCAGCAAGACATGCTGAGTATGTTTAGTAGGTGACATTCATTAAGTTTTATTACCTCCCCCCCAGCCCTCCAAAAAAGAGAGATATTGAAATCCTACCCCTCAGTACTTCAGAATGTAATCTTATTTGGAAATAGATTACTGGAGACGTAATTCGTTAAAATGAGGGCATCCTGGAGTCCTGATAAGGAGAGGAGAGAGACGCAGAGGCTGGACGGAGGTGGGAGTGATGCTGCCGG